TCTTCGCTTATGGCACAGAGATTTTGAGGGAAATAGTCAATATGTGAGTGTAAGAAATGAACTCTTGAGCTCATATTACAACCCAACTCTTTGAATATATCGAGCATGTTATTGACAATATTTTTGTAATTTTAGTCCTTGTTGTTTCCTAAAAATTTGTCAATAACATCTTTAAAGGCAATCCACACTTTTTTTTTCAACTCTCCTCATTCTCCATTCGAACTGTTCATCCAAAATCAATTTCCTAATCTGAGGACCAACAAAAATCCCTTCTTCAAGTTTCACTTTTGCAAGATTATTTTATACACAATTCTATAAAAATGAGATTGTTTCCAGTCTCCAAATTACTAAAATATAATAACTTACTGTACAGAATAAAAAGTGGTAAAAAAAACTCCAATGAAACTGGAACACAATCTCATACACTCTACATGTTTTGATGTATACTACTGATCATCCTCAGCAAAAATAACACTTATTTATACAATTATCAAATCACCAATTTACATATCGAGAAATTTCATGGCATATGCTGACAAAATTTCCATCAGGTCCACCATCCTTATTCAATAATTTAAATTTCCTTTTTGAAAAATTTAAAGGAAAAAGATGTTGTCATTTGCAAAGCTGATAAAGGGGGACAAACTGTTATTCTTAATAAAAATTATTAGGATTCTAAAGTTGAAGAAATTTTGAAAGAAGGTCCATATGAGAACATTAAACTTAATCCTATAAATAAACTTCATACAATAGTTAATAAAAAATTAAGAGTTGTATAACACTAACACCTTATGAAAAGCAAAGTTTAATTCCCAGTAACTTTATTTTACCTAGGTTATGTGCCTTGCCTGAAGCTCATAAGATTGGTAATAATTTCAAACTTATTGTATCCAATATTAAGAGTTCAACTTATAATGTAGCAAAATTTATATCTTAAAAATTCTAATTTTTAATGGATAAAAATAAATTCGTTTGAATTTGTGGAAAGAATTGAGCATATAATTTTACATCAAAAAGATATTTTGGTGTCATTTGATGTTGTGTCAATGTTCACCAAAGTACCTGTGAAAAAACTATTGAATGTTTTGAGAAAAAACTGAAAGAAAATAATAATTCAGTCTTAGAAATAATGGATATGATTAACCTGGTAGAAAAACGTGTTGGAAACTCATTTTTCCAAATTAATAGCAAAGTTTATAAATAAAACGAAGGTTGAGCTATGGGTTCTCCTTTATCTCCGTTATTATGTGATTTATTTATGGAGAGTTTTGAAAGTGAAGCACTAGAAAAAGCAGATAAAAAACCTAAAGTTTGGTTAAGGTATGTAGATGACACATTTTTGATTTGGTGGTAAGGTAAAGATGAACTAGCTAATTTTGCTAATTACCTTAATAACATTGATAATTCTATAAGATTTAATTATGAAGTTGAGATAAATAGTTGTTTACCTTTTTTGGATGTTTTAGTGAGTAAAAGTAAGGATAAATTGGAAACTACCATTTATCGTAAACCTTTCTCTGTAATCATTCTGCCACATCAACAATCTTGTCACACTACATCTCAAAAAACCTGTGATTTTTACCCTTATGTGGATAGGATATTAAAATTATGTTGTAAACAGGATGATATCAATAATGAGTTATTGTTAATTAAGCACATAGCAGTGGAAAGATGTTTTAATCCAGATGTTGTTGACAGAACTGTCATAAAACTAAAAAAACAGGGATACAAATA